ATGTACCAATATATAGATATTGGATTATACAATCATGCTTATGACATAGCATGCTTAGGCGTGGCCGAATCGGACTGGCTCGCTTTGGGGACAGCATGTCTGGACAATCTAGAGTTAAACATCGCATATTCGGCATTCGCGCGAATAAAGAAGCTGCGTTATATAGAAATTGTGTCCGAAGTGGAAGAGAAATTAAAATCGGGCGAATGGGGACGGGAAGCTTGCATGGCTACTGCCGCAGCCGCTATGGGAAAACTTCGCGACGCAGCAAAGCTCTATCAGAAAGCCGGTTTGCAACAATATGCTCTGGACATGTATTCCGACTTACGAATGTTCGACATCGCTCAAGAATTCATCGCCTCCGGCAACACGCAGGTGCGTTTATAATCAATATTTTAAAGATTAGCACCTAAAAAATGTAATAAAGTTAAATATCGATAAAACAGAATAATAAATGAATAGATAATATTTATCAAACATTGGGGGTTTAACATTTTATTTGGATCTTCAGGATCGTACGGTATTATTGCGACGGCGAGCGGAATGGGCGAAAAGCTTGGGTGAGCCACGCGCTGCAGCCGAGATGTTCCTCTCCGCGGGAGACATCGACCGTGCCATCAGTATTATCGCTGAATACGGTTGGATCGACATGCTAATCAAAGTAGGCAGACAATTGGACAAGGCGGATAGAGATAACCTATCTATGATCGCCAAGAAACTTAAGCAACTGGGTGCTTCGCATGGCGCAGCGGAGATTTTCAGTCGGCTGGGAGATGATCCTGATGTTGCAGACGTGCTTGTGGATGCACAAGCGTGGCCCGAGGCCTTCGAACTTGCAGAAAGGAATCCGAAGTTGAGGTCACGAATATATGGACCGTACGCACGATGGTTAGCCGAGACAGGACGATTTTCCGAAGCTCAAGAAGGTATGGATATGCACAGTGTCGGAGATTTAATTATTACTCAGCATTTAATATCTATTACAGCATTCCAAATGGCGGGACAACCAGAAGAATCCATACTTGTACTTACGATGCTAGCTAACAACGCTGTGATAGAGAAAAGATTTTGCGACGCCTCCTACTTTTATTGGCTCCTGTCGCAGTTGAGTTTGGATTTGTCTAAGAGCGTAGAAGAGATAAAAACGATGTTTCTCAATTATTCCGACAAAGCGGATATTTATTATGCATATCACGAAGTATTCAAGTATCTGGTATAATCTTAATATGTTAAATGTGGCATTTTTTCCATTTATTCTTCCTTCCATTCAATAATGATGTATTCTAGGAGGAACCTTTTACATCTCTGATGCCAGAGGCGTTATTCAACATTTCGAGGTATTTGCTCATGAAGACGCAAAATATGCGACTAGACGGCATTTCGAAGATGACGATAATGTACTGTCTAATGAAACAAGCAAGGATATTGGGAGCTAACAAGCTGGTTATGCAAATATTGGACCAATTACGATCGATGAAGATTCCCGCGAATCTCTTGGCGCAAGTAGAGACATCAACTCTAATCGCCAGATCTTATCCATATCGTGATCCGGAAGAATTATTGCCTCTATGCTACAAATGCTCCACCTTCAACCCGTTATTGCCAACGAATAATGTCTCTGGTAGTAATTGCACGCAATGCGGTTTAAAATTTCAATATTCCTTCGTTATGTTCGGTAAGTAGCGGATTACAATCTATAAAAGATTACAATCTTTAAATTCATTTTAGAGCAGCTGACTGTTAAACCAATATTCATTTACAGAAATTTTGCCATTAGTCGAGTTTGAATTGGAAGATGATATCACGGATGAGGAAGCGGAGAAATTGATAGAAGAACCGTTACCTTCCTCCGATGATCTTGCAATTAGCGATCAATTAACCATAACTTCCAATGAAGCTGATCTCTTCACTGTCCGTTTATTGAAATACGAGGTATAATTAACACTGAATGTATGATCGCACAAAGCGTTCATTTGATTAAAAAAAAAATTACCTATCACAGGAAAAATCTACTAATTCTACGGTAACTGTTGGGAGAGGGGTATTGAAAAGTATGGATCCGTCTACCGTGATAATTATGAAATGGCCTAAACCCTTTAAGACTAGATACTTTAGAAATCTTTTATCCGATCTCCAGATTAGCTTGTGCAAGTGCTGTTTAAAGGTAAGTTATGAAAATGCAATTTTAAAAAATCAAGCTTACCGAATCTTGTTCTGTATAATTGTATAATATTTTCAGTTGTTTCATTCGGATGACTATGAGCTAGCATTGTTAAGACACGGGCATTGCCCGTTCTGTCGGACGCCGAATGTGACCGCTTGAATGAGATAATGTGAAATTAAACATTTTTGTTATAGATCAGTACATATTGAATTGTTGAAAATATTTTAGAAATATTTTAATCGCGCGAAATACAAATGTTTTAGAAACGTTTCAATCTTTCTATTTAGGATTAGATCTTGTACAGCACTGTTGTGGCATATATATTATAACTTGTTTTTTAAGAGCGTTATTACCAACACCGATTAACTTAATCAATAATTAACTCATTTAGAATTATTATTATAAAATTATTATTATAGATAGAAGATTTTCATTACTTTTATCACAGGTAAGTATAAGAACGCAAAGATAGAAGTATATTACGATAAGATTAAGATATATAGTCTTGCTGTTAATTGAGTTAATCGTCGATTAAATTAATCGATATTGGTATCAGTCGCTCTAAATGCGAAATCTTTTGCGTTATCTTTTCTATTTACTACTACGATTGTACGATTCAAATAAATAAAACAAAAGTACCTCACAGATGTTGTACAGTTAAAGGAACAGTAAATTCGAGGGTTCGGCAACGTGCTAATTACGGTGATCATTTGAGTACATATATTCCGTTACCAGCCTTCCCTTGAGAGCCAGAATATATCTGGAAATCAGTCGCACTTCCAGACATGATCAGTATACTCTTGGTCAACTATTTTACTTTTGTATTTTTCATAAGTGTTCGGACTACTAATTTGGATCAATCCTTAAGAGATAATGCTTTGGAGATCAAATCGTTTAATTCCCATTCCAATCATCAGGGAAAATGTAAGTTTACACTTTAAGTATTAGTTTCATTTAAAAAGTAATGAATGTCAAATATGTATATTTGAAACGACGTATCTCTCTTGATGTATCTTCGTTCAGTCTTCCCGCTATTCAGCGTCGTGCGTTTCGCTAACTCCGAGTGCTTGTCGAGCATCGATCAACTTAATGGCACGTGCTTTACAAGACGAGAGTGTATGAATTTCGGAGGCAACCCGTCGGGATCGTGCGCTAACAGATTGGGCACTTGTTGCATATGTAAGTAGCATAAAAGAAATATGAATTATAAGTTATAATTTATAATAAATCATAATTACAAATTATAATTTCTTAATTATAATCTTTTAAATTATAAAATAAATTGATATACCATATTTCAACAGTTCAAAAGTCTTGCGGCTCCACCACCAACATGAATAACACATATTTCGTAAGTCCGAGATATCCTATCACTTATCGAGGCGGAGAACGTTGCTCGATTACAGTACAACGTTGTAATCCTAATATATGCCAGGTAACGTCCATACTGTGCGTTAATTTCAGTAAATTATAGCCTTTAAATGTTTGCAGTTGCGATTGGATTTTCTAGAGGCTACCTGGGCCCAGCCAAATGCCACTGGATTTTGCGATTTAGACGTGTTTCTTGTATCAGGAGGTTCATCCACAGTGCCCAGAATATGCGGGGAAAACACTAACCAGCATGGTAAATAAAACGATGATTTGTGCAAATTTTCATACAGGTTGAGGAAAGTAGATTAAATTAAATTCGTTACTAGTATACGTTGACTTTAACGGAGCAACGCCGATCACGATATCCGTCGACACCAACGCGGATTTTGCGTTCGATCGTCGCTGGAATATAAGGATTCAGCAAATAGCGTGCGATTCTGTATGCAGAGGTATACATGCATTTTTATTATATCATTGCCTTGAGATGTTTGAATAATTGTTTCCCACCTCCGTTTTAGCTCCTAATGGATGCTTACAATATTACAATAGTCTCTCCGGCACCGTAATGAGCTTTAACTTTGGTACAACAGAAAATGTCCGAGGTACGTGTCAGTCAAACATCACAGTGAACTCTTCGCATTTAGATCATTCATTTAAAATTATAAATGAATGATCTAAATTAAGAGTTGTTTTTCATTTCAGCTCCTCAGATTGGAACGCGACAGATGGTGAATCATCGTTATGGCGTGTGCGTTAGGATGGCTTTAGGATATTGCACTATTGAATGGTCGGAAGTCGATAATCTCTCCTTTTCCGTTTCTGGAGACACGGGATCGTTTGATCCAAACATAATAGGTATATCAGTATTTTTCCTTGAAAATTTCCTGTATAAATTTAACGAGAATTATTGATCGAACATACTTTGTAAAATTCCATCGCAGAATATCTTGCTATCGGCGTTTAATTATTATGTGTATCAACAGGCACACCCTTGGTGGCAGAATCTGGAGCTAGCTGTACAACCGATTTCGTAATTATACCCGATCCGCAAGAAAATGGCGTTTTCGATAATACAGATAGATTTTGCGGAAATGGATTTATAACTAAAACATGTAGGTAATCATAACGCCATGTTACATATTTTATAGAGATACTAAATATTTTTTCACTGAATTTCTAGCGGACTTGAAGCCATTCGTACTTTACGTCGTTACAAACGGTGATGAAACGCAAGAAGCCCAAAATAAAGGCTTCGCACTTTCATTTCGTCAGCTGCCTTGCCCAGTTTAAGTATTGTATAATATTGTATAAATATATTTTTCATATATTATTATATAAATATATTTTTCATATATTATTATATAAATATATTTTTTCTGATCAAAAATAATATTATTTTATCATATTGTTAATTGTATAAGTATGATTTATTTGTAAATAAATAACTCTATACACACGTGTGGAAATCAATTATTATCTACTCAAATTTGCACTACCAGAATGTGCATCAACTTGCTCCTTCATAGCATTGTACCAAACGCCGATGTTCGTATGAGTCTTCAAATCTTGGAAAGCATCACAGCCTTCAATACTCTTCAAAATACCATATATCGCTAAATCAGATAAATCAGGCTTGTTGCCGCCCATGAATATGGTGCCACGTGCCTTGATGCCACGCAACCAGTAATTCGCCTCATCGTACAATGATTGTCGCACATCATTTTTTAGACGGTGTCTCTTCTTAAGTCTCTTCCCTATTAACCACATTGCCATCGCGCCTACATTCACTATTAACAGTCGCTCCCACATTGGGAAATATTCCTCCCATTTGCCAATCTAAATGAAAAAATTTTTTTAATCTCATTTATGTAATCTGGTATGTACTTTCTAAATCACCTTTCATAATCGTATTCGTAATCAATTCTTATATTCAAGACCATCTTAAGATGTCACCAACCAATCAGAAGGCTATATTAGCATTTTAAGACATTACTTAAGATGATCTTGAAATAAGAATGGATTATGAATATTAGCCATAGATTCACTCACTTCCGAGAACCAATTGAAAGTTTTGTAGGATTCATCGAGTGTTCTATAGACATTTGGCGAAAGAGTGTGGACAAATACATCATCTGCCCACTTCCTCCACTTACGTTCTTCACTAAATATATATAAAAAAAAAAGATAAAATAATATAATGTGTAATAACTAAAGGATTTACTACAATAGTAGTAAACATTTTATAAAAACAAAGCAAATGAATTCCAAAATTAGAGCGAAAAAGAAAAACTATATTATTTTAATATTTAAATTTAGAGTTAATTTACTTTGTTTTTACCAAATGTGAGTTAATCCACTATTACAGCAATTATCAAATCGTGCATATCAGACTTTACATACATAATATCGTCCATTGTTCTGTTTTTTGGAAGTTGGTTATTGAACATGAGGAAATATTTATTTATGATTTCGTATTTGAATTTGCCAGTTTCGTCATGCATGCCTATACTTGGATAATAATCAGCAAACTCTTCAATCTTTTGTGACCTATCATATAGATAGGAGGCAAGAAGTGACACTATCATAGTACTGTCATTCAAGGGCTGATAACCACTTTCCACTTGGGTCAAAAGGATTGGAACTTTCTTATACAAAGACCATCCAATTTCTTTTCGGAGTACTGGATCTACCTCCACAATGTCATAAGATATCCCATAATAATCCAAGAATGCTCTAACCTGAAGCATAATTCCATTCAGATTAATACTTAATAGATTAGTTTATTATTTAGAAAATAAGCTAATATTATTTAGTATCATTTTAATATCAAAATAACTTTAAAAGGATGACAAATAACATCAATTTGTTTGTTGAGTAAATATATATATTAAATTAAATATCTATATATCTATATAATATCTATATTAATATTTATATTAAATTAAATTTATATTAAATATGTTATATTCAAATATCAATATTGTTCTGTTAATATAGACAGAATTATTAACTTTTTACAATTAAAGAAATATTGAAGGAAAAGAAAAAAAATTAAAGATAAAAATTACAGTTATAGATTCTGCTACCTGAAATTTCTGAAATTTTATCTACCTTACAGCAGAAAGGACAAGTCTGATACTGGAATAACGTAAGTTTCAAACCAGTGGTGTCCCCCGAGTACACAATCTGAAGTAAGACAGGCGCGATTAATGTAAGACGCTACAATCTCTTACAGAACGATTGTCAAGATACCTTCCGAGACGGAGTGATAGGCGGCTTGTGCTCGAGCAATACAGTATTCAACTCCGTTCCTTCCAGAGCGATGTTCTTTCGGGTTTCGTTGATCCTGTAATATGCATAACCTGCACCCACTGCGACGCCGGTAGCCGCGCTGATCAGACCGAATTTTACTAAGGCTTGTGTCTCTCGCGACAGCCCTATAACTGCCCCATTCGTGGAGAATGACCTCTGGATGCCATTCTGACTGGCGAAATAGCACTTGTTCAAAAACTTCGCCCTTTCCGTAAACCGGGCGAGGTTGCGGATCGCAGCCATTTTTAGGTTATAGGATAAACGCAAGGCGCATTATGCAAATATGAGGACTGCTGTGTGCATCTGTGTATGTGTGTACATATTTGTTTATAGCATGCGCGCGCGTATATAAATGACAGCCGTAGATTATTTATATTGTACATTATTGTGAATTATTTTTTATTATTTTATAAAATATTATTTATATATCTATTATTATTGTATTATTATTATTACTGTTATTTATTGTACTTATTGTTGTGTTGTTATTGTTATGGATTATTATTATGCGCAAATGCGCGTAATCGTGATTGGAACAAAAATTCGTAGCGTTTTTCAATAGGTGGCGTTTGAACACGTGATTCGTTTTCGGCGTGACTGAAACATATGACATTCACAATCTGATAGATGATGTGATGTGTTTTAACCAACGCGTCTCTCCAAGCGATTTGTGTGTAGATTCACCAATTCTAAAATGTGTTTATATTAACAGTAAAAATGGAGGAAAATAAGGTACATTTCCGTCATTTGATGCTCTTTTATTTTCGGAAAGGGAAAAACGCTGTACAAACAGCAAAAAAGATATGTGCCATTTACGAAAATACCGTAGCTGAGAGTACTGTTCGCAAGTGGTTTGCTCGATTCAGAAGTGGTAATTTCGATCTGGAGGACCGAGAACGTTCCGGCAGACCTGCAGTCGTTGATGACGATCAAATCGTAACGTTAATTGAAAATAATCCACGTCACACGACACGGGACATCGCAGAGATACTTCACATATCTCATATGAGTGTTGTGAGGCATTTGGAGACACTTGGATATGTGAATCGCTACGATGTTTGGGTGCCTCACGACTTAACGGAAAGAAATTTAATAGACCGCATTTCCGTCAGCGATTCTTTGCTCAAACGTAATGAAAACAATCCATTTTTGGAACGGACGATCACGGGCGATGAAAAATGGATCGTTTATAACAATATGCAGGAGCGAAAAAGATCGTGGGGAAAACGAAATGAGACGTTAATTCCGAAAGATGATCTGCATCCAAAGAAGGTGATGCTGTGTATTTGGTGGGACTGGAAGGGTGTCGTGTATTACGAGCTTCTTCCACATAACCAGATGTTGAATTCGAATAAGTACTGTTCTCAATTGGACCAACTGAAGACAGCAATCGATGAAAAGCGACCGGAATTGGCCAAGAAGGCTGTCGTCTTCCATCAACACAACGCCAGATCTCATATCTCCTTGCAAAGCCGACAAAAATTGGTGCAGCTTGGCTGGGATGTTCTACCTCATCCACCATATTCACCTGACTTAGCACCTTCAGATTACCATTTATTCCGAGCCCTACAGAAATCTCTTCATGGAAAGAGCTTCAATTCCCTGGAAGATTGTAAAAACCACTTGGATCAATTCATCACTGAGAAAGATGCCAAGTTCTGGGAGAATGGAATCATGAAACTGCCTGAAAGGTGGCGAAAGGTAATGGAACAGAATGGTACATATGTGGTTGAATAAATCTATGTAAAAATTGAATAAATCTATGTCTAAACATTGTCTTTGAATTTCACTTGACAACTCTAGTAAAAATTTTTCTTATAATTTTTATATGAATTAGAACATTTTTTTAGAAATATTTAGAATAAATATTCAGAAATATTCGGAAAGTTTACATATTCTCTCAGAATTTTTCATACATGTAAATTCTGAAACATTCTGAGATTTCTCATCCTGTAATTTCTAAAAAATATTTTTTAATTTTTTATATTTTAACATTTAATCAAAAATATACTTACAAAAAATCTTAAAAATCTTACGATATTTCATAATTAACATATATGCAAAATTCTGAGAAAGGATATAAATTTTCTAAGAAAAGATGTAGATTTTCTGAGAATTGTTCCAATTCGTATAAAAAATGTGAAAAGTTATAAAATTATATAAAAATTCTGAAAAATTATATGAAAAATTCTGAGAAAAATTTTCATTAGGGAAGTGCTATAAACTTTTATTTCAGCCCAGTACATTATTTAAAATACATACTTGCTTTCCAATTTAAACGAGAATAATATTATAGCTTTATATATGTAGTTTTATTAATTATCCTGATTTTAATAATGTACATATAATATTCATAATATATATTTGACGACATATATAGAGAAATGTGTCATTAAATATTTTATAAAAAATATGTTCTCTAATGTGTGTAAATAACACTATTATTCTATCCTTTTTATATTAAATGTTCTGGCGATTTCATCAAATAATATACTAAATAGATGCAATTCGAGTTACACATTTAAAAACTTGTTTTACAGATTACAAATATAAACGTGCGCTTCTACAATACATTTATAAATTTATATTAAATATAAATAATTAAAAATTAGTTCGTTCAGAACTTAGGCTTTTAAAGGCAGTATTCATCCACTTGCGGAATATATTGATACAAAAATATTCTATTGTTGTTAATAACAATTCTTCAGGCAGTTTAATAAATATAGAGATTCTTTAGGCACTATGTATTCCGTTATTTCTTCTAATCGTGTTATTTTTTATCAAATAATTTTATATATTTTAACGTTTCATCTTGTCAAGGATCGGCACAACCATATCGAAGGACGGTCGTTTGCCTGGATCCTCATTCATACAAATTCGAATAAGCTTTGCGAGATGCGGAGAGATGCCCGGCGGAATGCTTACGCGTAAATCTTCCAGAGCGATCTAAAATTAATTATCAATTTTTATTTAATGCTCAAATGAAGATCGCTATATATAAAACAACGAGATATTTCTTGCTAAAATTATAGGGGGAAGAGAGAGAGAATCTTGTATCGTAATTTCTAATTTTGAAAGTAAGAAATGCATTGCTCACCTTCATGCCACATTCCATAGGCGATAGATCCGCAAATGGTACTTCTCTGGTCGCCAATTCCCACAGAAGAACGGCAAAGCTCCACATATCGCTCGCTTCGTGATTGATGTCCGCCGGACGTTTGCTCAAAGCTTCCGGCGACATCCATGCAGGTTCATAAATTCGCCCGACTTCTTGGAAGGAAAATTTCGCATCGGCCATATTCACACGAGCTGTTAGATCTTCATCGATCTGATATTGAAATGAAATATAACGTGTTAAGATAAATATAGACTTTGTGCGTTCAAATTTAAACTGCACAGTTTAAAAATTTGTGTTAAATTTAATTTAACATTTTATGTTATGGTTCACTCAAATTTTTATATTAATTTAACACGAGATGAATATGTTAGAAAGTAACACAAATATTATGTATAAAATTAATACAGTTTAACATTGATACAATTTGTAAGCAATTGTGGAAGCATATTTTTTTCAGTAAAATTAATATTTATGATATAATAAATTAATACGTATTTTATTAATTCCTCTTACAATTTTATGTTTTAAAACATTATTTTTATATTGTTCACTTATTTATAAATTATGTTATTTTATTATTAAGAAGTGTTTAATATCAATTTTACACAAAATATTTTAATAACAATTATATTATGTTAAATTAACACTCAAATATTTCAATACAAAATTTTAACAAGACCTTTAGTAGATCATTTCCAAAACAAATACAAAATGTTTCTTATATATTCAGATATTTAATTACTTATGTAATTACTGACTATCACTAACTCACCATTATGTGCTTACTGTTGAGATGAAATCTGCATCTATTCTGTCGATCTAAACCGTGAAGGAATGCCATAGCTCTGGCGACGTCGAGAGCCAATCGTAGAGCACGCGCTGTATCTACAACGACACCCGTCCCGCCATGCAGAAGTCTATGCAAGCTGCCTCGTGCCATGTATTGGGAGACAGTCGCCAATTGCGGAGGCTGATTCACGCAGCCAAGGACCGGCAGAACATTCGGATGTGAGAAGATTCTCAGCTTTGGGAACTCCTCGTTGAAATCCCTGGAGATGCGCGTGGTACACTCGCGGACATTTAATATCTTGGCAACGATATCATTGTTTTGCCATCGACCTCTCCAAGTTTCACCACTCGGTGTGCTCGCGAGGTGCATGTGGAGGGACAAATCTGCCATACTGATCCCTTTGTATCTTGAAAGAGTCGCGTCACCTGGAAAATATTAAAGAAAATTAAATGTACTCCCGACATTTGTCGTTTTTTAGGAATTTAATAAACACTTACGGCTCCTGGTCTTCAAGCCTAACCAACTTTGGTCTTTGAACTGTATCTTCTTCAAATCTTGTCCATATTCCATTGCTAAATCTAATGAAACAAACAATTAAATTAATTGGACTCTTGTAATCAAAAATAATAAAAAGAAAAGAGTATGGACTAAGAAGTATGAACATGGATATTAATACGCAAATATGTATATTCAAAGTAAGTAATACAAACGCCTCAGTAACGCCTTTTGTATTGTATACTTTGAATATGTATTGCGCATTCACTCTTATTCCTTTCTTCCTTTTTATTGTTTTTTAATGAAACAAGAAATATATTCTAAAAACTAATTTAGAATGTACAAACTTTTATATACCATGCAATCTCTTAGCCACGACACCTCTGGCTTTATCAAGAGGGGTATCACCATCTTTGTTGGCGATAGATACGAGAGCACCCGCTGCGACCAATTCCTCTGCAACCGCCTGATCTCCCCAGAAACAAGCGTAGTGCAAGGCAGTGTTTCCATGTTCATTTGTGACATTTACATCGGCACGATTTCTGAGCAACTGCAAATAATTATATTTATAGTTTTAAATTGATAATCTTAACTTTTTGTCTCTCTGCAATCATATTTTTACTTCTTCCGTCCAAAGATTTACTATTTTAAGTGTCTCAAAACTCTCAAAACTCTCAAAAATGTGGAAAATCCAGGGTTACTTTTCAACATTTCTATGACGTTATCAAATAATTTTTTAACATGATGTTTTAAGAAAAACTTCCCTTATTTTAGAATTTAAGAGTAAAATTTCGCTTATACGAGAGACTGTGGATGGAGAATTAAACAAAACAATATTATTAAATCTTTTCATTACC